GTAGTATCACTTTGCTTCTCAGAGTGCCTTAGTGACCTTCCTTCTCTTCTGTATATCAAATATTTCATTGAGAGTGTTGGTGCTGGAGTCAACAAGAATTGAATTCACATCTGGTCCCACACATTTCCTGGCAATGTGACCACAGGCAAGTCACTTGACTTTTGTCTACCTCACTTTCCTCAACTGTGAAACAGACATAATAATTGCAACAGCTTCACAGGGCTGCAAGGATCAAATGAGATACTATTTGTAAAGCACTTAGCACAGGGTCTGGTACATAGTAGGTACTTATGACTAGCTATGGTGTTGATGGATCAAAGGGTAACCACAGTTTAATGATTTTCATTCATTCAATATACATTTATTAAGTGCCCACTATTTGCCAAGTACTGTGCTAAGTATTTCAGATACAAAAGAAACAAAGACAGTTCCTCAAGGAGTGTAAAATTTAATAGGGAAGATAGTATGCAAGCAAATATAAGCAAAGCAAGCTATACACAAGATAAATAGCAAATAATTTAAAAAAAGAAAGCACTGTAATTTCTGCCATGCTGCTTTCCAGTTTCCCCAGCAGTTTGTATCACCTAGGAAGCTCTTTCCTAAGTGATTTTTTTTCCACTTTGTCAAACACTATGTTATTTAGTTCCATTGTTTCTGATTCCCCCTTGTCTAGTCAACTCCATAGATGTAAGTCTCTTGTTTCTTAAACAGTACTAGATGGTTTTAGTGACTACTGCTTTATAATATAATTTGGGTTCTATGTTATTTCCTCCACATCTCCACCTCTTTTCATAATTCCTCTTGATGTTCTAGATCTTTTTTACAAAGAAATTTTATTTCTTTTAATCAATTTCTGTAATGTATTTCTTTGATAATTTCACTGGCGTAGCATTAGAAGTGTAAATTAACTGTGGTTGTATTGTCATTTTCATTACACTGCTGTAGCCTACTCGTGAGCACTGAATAATTGTCCAGCTACTTAAGCTGTCCTTTATTTCCTTAAGGAACACTTTGCAATTGAGTCTATATAAGTCTCTTCTGTGCTTTTGTAGATTGATTCCTGAGATATTTTATGTACTTTGTAATCATTTGGAATGGGATTTCCCTTTTCATTATTGCTTCTTTTATTTTATTGTTATTAAACATAAATCCTCCTTATTTTTGAGGAGATTTTTGGTAGCTTGAAACTTTGTTAAAGCTATTATTTAAATGTTAAAACTTTGCTGATTCTCTAGGGTTTGCTAAATACACTTTCATATCATCAGCAAGTAGGAGTAATTCATCTCCCTTTTATCTCTCTCTATGCAATTAATGTCTTTCTCCTTTCTTATTGATATAGCTAAAATTTCCAGAACTATAACAAATAATAGTGGGGAAATAGACATACTTGCTTCTCTTGCTTATTTATTGGGAAAGGCTCTAGTTATACCCATTGCAAAAGATGCTTGCTTTTCATTTTAGATAAATTCTTTACTGATATTAGAAAAGTCCCTCTGTGTCTATACTTTTGAGGATTTTTAGCTTACATGTTGTTGTATTTATTGTGTCAAATACTTTTCCCATATCTATTGAGATGGTTATATGGTTTGGTATAATTTCATTTTAATATAATCAATTATTGTGATTATTTTTCTAATGTTGGATTATTCCTGCATTCCTTACAAAAATTCAATTTGATCAAGATGAATGATTTTTTGAATGAATCTCTGTAATCTGTTTGGAAAGATTTTCTTTAAAAATTTTAATTGATTTTACTTAAAGATATTGTTGGTTTAAGTATCAGGACTATATTTTTCTTTAAAAAGGGATCTAGTAGTATGCTTTCTTTGTTAATTTTTGAGAATAATTTGTGAAGTATGGGTACTAAAAGTTCTTTAAAAGTTCGATAGAATCCTTCTGTGAGCCCACCAGCACAAGGAATTTTTCCCCCTTTAGTAGTTCCTTTACAGTGAGTTCTATTTCTTTTTCTGAGATTTGGTTATTTAAGATATTTACTTTGTCTTCTATAAGTTTGGTTATTTCATATTTTTGAAGATAATCCTCAATTTCTTTTGTGTTCTCAGTTTTATTACTCTGTAACTGTGTAGTGGTTTCTGATTATTCTTTTTCTTTTTGCCATTTTTGTTCTTTTGTCTTACTCATTTTTGTGTGAGTTAGTGCCTGCTTTTTTTTTTATCAAATTGGCTAAATGCTTATCAGTTTTATTAGTCTTTTTCAAACTGGCTTTTAGTTTAATTTATCATTCCTATAGGATTTTTTCTAGTTTATCTATTTCTCCTCTGATTTTAATATCTTGTCTTTTATGCTTATATTAGGATTGTTTATTTGTTGGCTTTCAAATAATTAAAAATGTATATTCATTTCAATAATCTTCCCCTTTTCTTATGTTGTTAAAGTATGTTTGTAGGGATATAAATTTTCCTTTAGGACTTCTTTACCTGCATCCCAGAAATTTTAGCATCTTGTTTCATCATTACTATTTCCTTTCATGGAATTATTATTTCTATGATTTATATAATGGAATCCTGGTATTGGAGGTGCTTCTGGCCATTCTGAATGGCTTCTGGGTGTCCCAGGCCTGGAGAAGGGGGAAAGGGGAAAAGGCAGTAAGGAAGGGCATCCATAGTGGTGGTAGTTTTTCCCACTTCCCAGACATCCCACATGGGAAAAAGAAGGGGAATGATCTAAGTCAGAGTCTCCTAAGATGGGCCATTGAAGGGAAATAGGTAAAAGAAGTATCATATGGTCTCATGTGTCTCTGGTTTTCCCCGGGAGTTTTCTTAGGGCCATTTTTACCTTCTTATTTCTCAGACTATAGATAAGAGGATTAAAGATAGGTGTAAAGGCCACATAAAATACATAAATTATTTTATCATACTTTGGGGAAGAGAGTGATTGAGGTCTGATATAGAGAGAGATTACAGTACCATATAATACCATTACAACCATGAAGTGGGAAGAACAAGTGGAAAAAGCTTTCCTGCGCCCCTGGGCAGATCGAATGTGTAGGACAACATTAATAATATGGGCATATGAAAAGATGATGAATGTGACAGGACACAACAGGGTAAAGATACAAAGGACATTCATGACCATCTCTACATGGGATGTATCTGTACAGGAGAGGTACAGCAGGGTAGGCATTTCACCCAAGAAATGATTGATAACATTCTCCTGGCAGAATGAAAGCTGGAATGTGTCCACTGTGTCCACTGTGGATGCTATAAAGCCACTCACCCAACAACCAGCAGCCAACGCTCCACAAACCCCCCAGTTCATTATGACTGAGTACCTTAAAGGATCCCAGATGGCTACATAGTGATCATAGGCCATCACTGAGAGGATATAGCACTCTGCAATGCCAAAAAACAGGAATGTGTAGAACTGTGTGGCACAATGGGAAAAAGAGATAGACTTTCTTTCTGCCAAGAAGTGCCCCAGCATCTGTGGAATCATACTGGAGGTGTAACAGACTTCTAGAATGGACAGATTGGTGAGGAAGAAGTACATAGGAGTGTGGAGGCATGTATCCATTAAAATTAACAATACAATGAGCAGGTTCCCCACCAAGATCATCAAATAGACCATGAGGAAGAGTAGGTAAAGGTATACCTGGAGCTCAGGTCTGCTGGAGAGGCCAAGGAGGATGAACTACATTACTGAGGTGAGGTTGCTGCTCTCCATCTTGATTACGGGTCTACAGAAAGTGTATAAAAAGGGGATTAGATCCTATTTGTATAGGACTGTATGGTTACAAAGACCTTTACATCATATGTGATCCTCACTTCAACCACACTTGAGGTAGTCAGGATAAATGGTATTATCTCAGTTTTGTTGATGAGTAAATTGAGCCTTAGAAAGTTTAAGTGAATTACTGACAGCACCATATCTAATAAGTGGAAGATATGACCTTTTTCCTCTTTCTTCAAGTCCTGGCTCCTAGACTTACATTTGTTCTTCACATTAATATTAGGTGATCTAAACTCTTACATCACTGAAATCAAGGTTTATAGTGGGGTTTGGGGTGGCAGGGAGGACAGAAAAATAGAAGGAAATTCAGTATCAGAGTCTCTTCCCTAATACTCCTCACTCATGCCTCAAACAGTCTTGATACAAAAGTTTTGACCCTATTCTTGTAGAAGCTTTTTCTGCCTGTGCTTCTGTTATCCCAAATCCATGTGGCTTCTTCCAGCCTCCCCTTCTCCAGCCACATGTATCTTCTTGATGAGATGGATCCTTCTCCTACTTATGGCAAGATTAATTTTTGTCATAACTTGCTCTTTTTCTAATTCAGGCAGTCAGTAAACATTTATTAAGTCCTCACTATGTGCTAGGCACTGTGCTAATGAACTTATTTGGAAGTTATAAAGGGATCATCTCTCATGGCCCCATTTTTACAGTTAGTTTAAAGCCAAATTATTGCCCTCTTGTCAGTGATTAAATCCTTGGCTTGCAAAGACCTTTTGTAGTTCACGGGATTTTTGTGGAGGTATCATTTTGGTAAACTTTAAAGTGATAAATGTGAATAATTATTTTCCCCTCCTATATTACTCTATAAATTATCTCCTCACCTGGCACGCATCTTCAGTCTTCCCCTCTCCATTATTTGAAACCCATACGTATATAGATTTCCCCAAATCTAAAAATGAACAAAAAAACCTACTCTAAACCATTCCAATCTATCCACCCACCATAAATTCTTCTCTTCCCTTTCACAATCAATTTTCTTATAAAGTAATTACACTTAATGTCTAGGCTTCCTTATTCTCTCCTCAACCCATTGCTATATGATTTCTACTCCTTGTACTGAAACTGCTGTCTCACAACTCACCAATTATGACTTTGTCATCAATCGAAAGACCTTGCTCCTTCTGTGATTTTTAACACCATTGACAAGCCCTTCTTCCACAGATACCCTTTTCTCTTGATTTCTGAGACATTACACTTCCTTGTTTACCTCATACCTTTCTTATGCTCCTTCTCTACCTCCTTTATTGTTTGTTCCAACCCCTTAACTTTGCTGTTCTTCAAAGCTTGGT